CCCCAAAACCCCAAAACCCCAAAACCCCAAAACCCCTAATTCCTTTATAAATATTGTAATATATTCAAAGTATTTAATTATGGAAAAGAAGAAGACCTCTAAACTCACTAATTTCTTCAGTCAATATGTGTTCAAATGCTTCCAGGTTGATGACACAAGCAGTGAAGATTGCAAAGAAACTGATTGTAAATACCCTATCGAGGGGAATAAATCAGACTATCCGCTATAAACAATCTGAAGGAAGCTAGTTATGAATACAACAGAAATCCCGTTTCAAATGATTTTAGCATCTCTAAGTCACGGGCTTGACACAAACCAGGGCCATCCTTTGCTACTGATTTAGAAATGATTTGAAGGCATAATCATTCGTCTTCTCAGAGCATGATTAATGACGATGATCACCACCCTGAGATTAATGAAATTATACCTTATCAATCACATGTAAATTTCCACCCTGCAAAAGCTCTAAGTTCACCTAAAGTTTACCTCGAAAAAGCAAAGGACCACTACTTGCTTAAATCTGGAAGGAGGCTATTGTCTACAAAATAACAAGGCAGTCAGAACAAATTTCTCAAAGATTGCCTTAGTCAGTTACCCTGGGTCTGGAGAGGCCTTCCTTAGAGAAAGTCTTGAAGAAACCACTAAAATTTTTACAGCTGACGATGCAGAGCATGAGTATAAGATGAGCCCTAAAATTAGCAATGCTTGGATAATTAACACCCATTTCCCGCTCCAAAAAGCTCAGAAGTTTAAAGCAAAGAAGGCGATTGTTCTAATATAAGAGATCCATTGGAAACAATTGTCGAAAGCAAAAAGAAGGTATTTCTGTCAGGTAATATTAACCAAGCCTCCATATAACAAATTCTAGATATCAACTCACAAGCCTCAGTCAGGTTAGAAAAATTTGAGAGCAGTGACTCCCTTGATGCCAAGAAGTTAGAAAAATGGGCTAGATTTTATGAATATTGGATAGACCCGAAACGGGAATGCTTAACATATTTTGTGAAATATTCAGATTTAGTTAAGGACCTCCCGAAAGTGATGAAAGATTTATGATGATTTTTGATTGGGTGACAGAAGAAGGATCTAAAAGGAAGTGTACTTGAAAAGTTATGAAACTCAAAAATAATCCACGCCTCCAGACACCTCACCCCTCCTTCCTGCTCTCTCTCCTACTCGACCAACGCACATCTCCTATCCACACCGGGAATTACCAAAATCCTCAATTTCACTGGTCGCTTACATCCCAGAATCGTTCTTCCTCTCCGTATGTCCTTCTGTCCAAACCCTTGCTCTGATGCAGAAATCCTACAAGAATCCGCAGCTTCAGCTGCGGTTAGAACTTCAGTACAAGGTACACATTGAAACAACCGGGTTTAGGACCTGAAACAGAACTGATAACTCCAGGGCTTCCAAAATTAGCTACTCAAAATACGAATTATCGTTAGATGAAGAAGAAAGAGAGGAACAGAATCCAACGATAGACCAACGCAACCAGTTTTGCTATTTTCAAGCGATTGAGAAGGAACCGAAAGAGATGGAATATATGCTCCTGAATAAAGAAAAAGATGTCAAGATGTTCCTTCGGAATCGGATTAAACAATTTGAGTAATCTATCAGTTGCCTTGAAACTCGAATTTAATTTAGAAACTCTTTGATGCAATGTTCAAATTCAATTATTTATCAACCTTAAGGGGTTTTGGGGTTTTGGGGTTTTGGGG